TTTTCATGGGATGTTCGTGTAATTTCTAAAACTATAAGAAAAGTTCATGAAATTATGAAAAAATATAGGGGAGGTCCATGTAATTTACCCTAAAGTTTATAATGAGAAGCTTTGGGATTATTAAAGTCCAATAAAAATGTATAAGAAATTTATATGGAAATTTAATTTATTTAGTGCATGATATCAGTAAAATCCGTGATTGACTCGCTTTAACTATTGCGAAAGGGAGGTTTGTGTACGTTAGTTTCATTTTCAGGGGATGTTTGTGTAATTTCTAAAACTATAAGAAAAGTTCATATAATTATGAAAACTATAGGGGAGATCTATGTAATTTACCCTAAAGTTTATGATGAGAAGCTTTGGGATTATTAAAGTCCAATAAAAATGTATAAGAAATTTATAAATTAACTCTCAACAATCATAACTTTTAATTAATTTGGATTGAGTTTTGGGACAGAGAGAAGGTTCTTCAATTGTTGACTAATTCAATTTCTCTTACTTGAGGTCATAATTAAACGACTTTCCAAATTAGGTTTTTGTGCAAAAAACTCTTATGTAGTTTAAAAATGTATAAATAACACTTCTTATGTTCAAATTTCGCTCTTGTAGTATGTAAAGTGAGCAAAGAATGACTTATCAAATCAAAAAGTGGCATATGTGGGTGATGTGACAAAAAAATTATACATATATATTAAGTTTTCTCTTTAACATTTCTTACATATATTTAGGCCTGTCAACGGATCGGATTCGGATAGGATAGATCAAATCTATATCTGATTTGTTAAGCAAATGGATTATCGGATTCGGATCACTAACGGGTTCTTGAACTGAATGTCCCAATCCATATCCTATTGAGTTCGGACTCGGAGCGAATCGGATTCGAATTCGGATTAAAATCATATTTACTAACATATATAATTATAAAGTTAAATGAAGCGGAGAATTGCTAATATACAGAATGCTACATAATATAACTATGCAACCAAATGAATATAATGATAAATAATTAATATATATAAATTTAGTAATATATAACTAATATATATAACATTGATATATAGTACATCGTAAATTATTTACTCTTTGTTAATGAATAAATAGTATGATATTATTAGTATGTATATTAAGAGATTCATTAGTATGTGGATGAGAACATCACACTATTGTATATATAACATTACGATTTTTTTTTTTTTTGGTTACCTCTAATACAATTTTAATAGGAGTATTGATATATATAATTTTAATCAGATCGGATTGGATCAGCATATTTCATATCTGATTTATTAAGCTAATGGATTATCGGATTCGGATCGTAATCGAATTATCGAATTTTTTGTTCAATCCATATCCAACTAATCGGATCGAATTCGGATCAAGATCCGCTCCATTGACATGTCTACATATATTATTCTAGCTTTGTCTCTCTGTTCCCAAATTGTTTGAGAATTTGCAATGGAGCTAAACGAATCTTTTTTATGAAACAACAAATTTTTATCATTATATATATCATTGATTTTTTTTTTTATTATATAAAATAACAAATTTTGATCATTAATTACTCTTTCTTCTTTCTTTTATTTTTTATTTTCATTTACAATACAACAAAATTTGATCACAAAGTACACACACATAAACACGTGTACAAATTCCATTAATGATCAAAACTATCTAATTTGATGAATTATGAAATAAATTCAAGTTGGAAGTAGTGAAAATTCCATAAATCTGATTCCATCCCGTGTGTCTTCTCAAAGAAACAATCTTGGAAATGTTAAAAATTTTAAAAATGCAGAATAATTAAATTAACAAATTGTTAAAATAAAATAAAATAAAACAAAAAGGAAAGCTCAAGCATGAAAAAGGAGGACATCAGTTTGACCCACGGAGAGAGAATTTTAGAGAGTGAAAGAGACGTCTTTTTTTCTTTTTCCCACGTCCAGAAAATAAATAAATATATATATATATATATATATATATATATATATATATACTTAAGAACAACGCTTTAAACGAAAATGGATTGATTATTAGCTCAAACAAGCGGTTGAGGACCAATTTTTCGGTTGCTACGCCATCCCGTGTTTTTGTAAGAACATACTCAAGTTACAAGAGCTTAGTGAAGTCTTTTTCTTCTTTTTTTTTTTTTAATAAAAAAAATCAATTAAAATAGAAGATTTTTTAGAAGAAAATCAGAAGAAATCTCCATGTAATAAAAACTAATATTTAATATTAATGGATCAATTTAAATTCAGATCATAGAAGAAACAAAATCAGATTATTACCATAAAAAAATTACGAAGAAAATTAAATTGATAAGGAACAAAACCCAATATGTAAAGGAGGTTCAACGGGACAATAACCTAGCGGTATCAACTTCTTAATTTCCAAAGAGAAATTATAGTTCAAGTCTCAGTAAAGATACCAACTAGAATAAAAATATATATATATATATATACAGAAGGGGAAAAAAACTCAGTATACGAATCAAACAGACCCCTCACGTCCCATGAGGTTGTCAATATAAATAGATATTATATTTGCAGGTTATGAGGATCAAAATGCCAACTCCTGTAATACGGAGCAATCTCAACTCTCGAGCCAAAGTCGTCCCTGAGAGGTCCAATATTTTCTGAGGTACCAGGCGAATGTGAGGTACAAAATTTTGAAAGGACCTAGTAATACAATTTTTTGGACTGAAATTGAAGTCCCTAGGCCTAGGGCCGACCCGTCTGAAGCCCTAGTACAAAAACAGAGAGTCGAAGGAACACCTTTATGTAGAAATAGAAATGGGCTTTAATGGTCCAGTTTTTGGCAGCAATATTGCCCAGGCACGGACGTAGTTCAAGGCCCCCACTGGATTTTTTCTAATTTATATTATTACGCATAGTTTTAATTAAAATTTCAAAAATGCCCCCATTCTATTTTTTAAAATGTCCCTTTCACATTTTTACCTCACTAATTTCTCCAATGGATTTTTTTATAATTTATATTATTACCTAAAGTTTTAGTTAAAATTTCAAAAATGCCCCCACTCCATTTTTAAAATGGCCCACTTCATAATTTTTTTTTTTCAAATTTGTGTACAAATTTTTTTTTTTATTCTTCGACGATGCCCCCCTCAAAAAAATTCCTAGGTCGGTCTCCAATCGGTTCGGTGGTGTTGTAGGGGTCGGCATTTGTCCTTTTGACAGCGACGCAACGACAAAAGGCGACGGTGACGCTGAATATTGTGGAGGCAATGGAGGTTAATAAGTAGTCGGCGACCTTGGGCTTTGAGGAAGAGGACCCAGGTGACCTGCTTGGATGATTCGCACGATGGAGAACAACGCTGTCACCTCCGATCCTTCCATCTTCTTCTCCTCGTTTGGCTAAGAGGGTGAGAGAGCCAGATCGATTATAAAGAACATAGAACTATGTGTTGCCCAAATATATGTGTTTCACTTTGTATAAAATGGTGGCGTTACAAACATGTCCTCGGAGGTAATTTCAACTCCTAGGTATTTTTTATTATTTTTGTTATCAGAATAATGGAGGGTATGTTAGTCTTTCCGTCTATCCGATATTATTTACTTGACAAATTTTTTTTTTTTTTTTTGCACTATTAAGATAGTGTGATTTAGACATTAAAAATTAGTGTTATTTGCACGCTTGTAAAGCTGGTATTTTCACTTCACCCTTTCCAAATTGGATGATCATATGCACAAGTAACACATCTGAGTCCTATAAAACAAACAATCTCCTCTCTTTAATTATCCTTTGACTTGCTGTTTTGCCAATCCACTTTAGATGTGTAAACCAGACTACACTACCCTACAATGGAGCATCCATCTTTTGGTTAATTTTTTTTTTTTTTTGTCATCTCACTTCAGCTGAAGGTGGCTCGTTTTCTCTTATACTGGTTTATATATTTAAATGGGCCATTTCTTGTGGGCTAGCACCGGAATACTAACCTTGGCCATATTTAATGGGTGGCTCTCTTCTTTGTGTGACCATTGGTTTAAACCCTTATCTACTAGTAATTGCTAAAAATCTCCAAGAACAAAATTATGGAAAAATAAATAAATATATATATGGTTTAAAATGTTCAAAAATAATACTTGCAAAGCTAAGGCATTGCGCTCATGTATGACACTCATCTCTGTGCTAATAATACTAATGTATACAATGTCCACACAAGTGATTCAGAAAAATCTAATCACTCTGCTTTCCCGCTTGAATAATATTGCATCAAAGTTTCAATATCTTTTTGAATTTAAACAAATTAAGCAAGGATTTCAATATACTTTTTTATATGCATTAATTAATTAAAGCAAAATATATTCAGGTTTTTTTTTTTTTTTTTCATCATTGCAAATGCCATCCATGGCACGCGCAGGCAGCTCTTAATTAGCATCCATTGCATGTCAGCTTCATGATTGTGCCAATGATCGAACATAATATATAAATGTGCAATATATGCTGCTCATTCTAGCTAGCTACCACTTAATTTAATTTTGTTATCCTTGTTAGATGAAAGGCAACAAGCTAGGCACGTATATGAACATAATTAAGCATAATTGCTACTAGGTATTGGGACAAGGAAACCCTAAACATGGAATTCTTTTTTTTTCTTCTTATTTTGAATGATATTTTCTATCATATATAAGCTGTTGTTGGAGTAATATAATGGGCATAGTGTGTGTATATATATATATGTGTGTCTCATATACATATTTATGGATTCAAACTTGACAGGGCTTTAGTGTTACAAGGTGAATGGGTCTGTTTCAAACACCAGAAAGATTGCATGACAGGCTCTCTCGTCCGGCCACAGCCTTACATCAACTCCACCCAAAATTGAATTAAGGAAGATATCTAGCATTTCTATTTATCTTCTATTTTAAATCTTAGATGCATCCATTTTCCTTTTTAAGTTATTGGAAGATTATGTAACAATTGTAATTCAATTTACCATAAGAATATTTTTTTCAATTAATTAAAATGGCTAGTACGTCAAATACATGAAACAAGATCCATATATGGAGATAAAGTTGCTGGTAACAAAGACTTCCAAATTCCAATCAATAACATATATATATATATATATATATAGGAGGAGGAGGAGGAGGAGGAGGACATGCAAACTGAAATCATACTGATCTAGATATCAATGTGTAAGTAGTACTACTATTTCAGTGCAATATATATAGGTTGGATTAAGATTAATAATTAACAGGAGGAGCATGTAGACAGTTTCTTCAACTCGGTTATTTCGAGATCAGTGGCATCAATAACGTCTATTTTGAATCCTCTAGGCATGGATGAAGCAGAAGCGTTGGATTTTCCATCATCATCCTGCTGATGCAAGGGCTTCTTAGAGACCACACCGTATATCTCCTCGAGGAGTTTAAAGAATGCATTGTCCACATTGTCACCACTAAAGGCTGATGCCTCCGAGAAGTATAGGCCCTGATTCTCTGCAAACTCCACAGCGTCCTCCGTTGGAACCGCTCTCAGCTCCACTAGATCAGCTTTATTTCCAATCAACATTATCACTATGGAATTATCTGCGTGGCCTCGGAGCTCATCTACCCACCTCGCTACGTGATCAAATGTCTGTCTCTTGGTGATGTCGTACACTAACATGGCCCCCAGTGCACCTCTGTAGTATGCACTTGTCACTGCTCGATACCTTTCATTTGTGTACGTAAAACAATATTACTCCAGGACCCTATATCATCAACAAATACCATAGTGTGTCTGTGTATATATATATGTATCTCCTGTATTTCATCTCTCTAATATGTAATGTGATCTTCTAGTTCTCACATTTAATTAATAATTCCTAATGCATATGCTTTAGAACCCGATTGGATGGACAAATAGAAACCCATTATATATATATTAACAACCGAATCAAGACAGCAAAACTACTCTGTCACACACACACACACACACACACACACACACACGGACACGGTATGTAATCAGCTTCTTGGAATTTCAATTCCAATTCTAAACCCAATGATAATGTATCTAAAATCGCAGCAAAAATTATACTGAAGGACGCTAGCTCGCACTAAAAACATATGCTTTAAAGCGCACAGTGACATGGTACAACATCAGCATAATATATATATATATATATATATATATATATATATATATATATCATTAATTCTTCTTAAAACCTCAATATCACATATAATAAGAGGAAGCAATAAGAATTGGTGGTGGCATATATAGTATAAAATTAAAGAACTCCATCGTCCAAACAAAATCCATGAACTCTGATTATCACAATTTTCCAAATGCTTACTAATTTAATTTAATGATCAATATATAAGAATAGCTTAAAACGTACCTTTGTCAAGAGGAACCTGCCGTCATAATATTAGTCATATAATATCAATTTATTTTAAGAGTATAATAATGCATCTATTATTAATCAAGAAGTCTTAGCTGAATTATTTGCCTTAAACAAAAACAAAAAAGAAAGAGAGGAAAAAAATATATAAATGTATATAGAAAAAACGTAATCGAATTTTATTATTTTAAGTCCACCTAAATATTGAGTAAGGAATTTTGTTGCGTTTTCACACTGATCGAGCAATAAAACAATATAATTTATGTGTACACATAAATATTATTAACTGGAATATAATTGGTATATGTTTCTGCTCCTTCATTGTCCAATTCAAGATCATATTGATGGTCTGAGTTTTATCCTCTATAATGACGTCACTTTAAAAATCTTCGTTTTTCTTGCCCAACATTAATGGTACACACTACAGAGAGGAGAGAGAGAGGTGATGAATTAGGTAGGTAGGTAGGTACCTTTCTTGGCCAGCAGTGTCCCAGATCTGGGCCTTGATGAGTTTGGAGTTGATGGTGAGAGTGCGAGTCTGGAACTCAACCCCAATAGTGGATTTGGAGTCAAAGCAGAATTGGTTCTTAGTGAACCTGGACAGTAACTGAGTCTTACCCACAGCGGAGTCGCCAATCACCACCACCTTGAACACATAATCTATCTTCTCTGGAACATGATCAGCTGAACCATTCTTATTTTGATCAACACCCACCAACTGACCATGATGATGATGATCACCGGTACCACCACCGTTCATTTCTTCATTCATTTTAGTAGTAGTAACTAGTAGTAATTATATATACTACTACTGGATCGATCGAGTATATATATATATATATATATATATATTAAATTAATTAATTTGTCTAGTTAGAAGGGCGGCCGGCCACCACAATGCATATGCGGGAAGGGCAGGGGCACCATCTGCTTTTAAAATAAATGTATTGCAACTGGCCGGATCATTAAGATGAAGAAGACTAGTCCACTGATATCTCTTGCTTGCTTGCTTTCTTTCTTTCTTTCTTTTTTGTGGGTGGGAGTCAGTAAAGGAACTGAAAATGACAGAAGACCTAGACGACCGGGACGAGCTAGACCGCCCGGTTTCAATCACTTTATTTGATTATTCTCTCTCTATGTATACGTATGTGTAATAATATGTATATGTATGTTGAGACTTGGGACAGAGACATATGATTTATGGTCCTTAAGCTTTCTGTTATAAGAATTTGTCACAATACACAGTGTTGTCCCCAGTACCCAAATTGATGGGAGCTATATATTCACATGCATCCATTTTACATCATAAATGCCCTCTTTTAAAAATAAAAATAAAATGCCCTCTTGTTTTTTTGGAAAGTAATGCCCTCCATTTCTTTTCTACTAATGAAAAACTAACCTTAATTAAAAGAGTGTTATGATGGATTAAGGTGAGAAGTTGATCTCATTATTAAAGGCAAAAGGGGTTGTTGGCTTGATTGATATATATACCGGATCAGTGGGCCCTTAATTTTCTGGTGTTTAATTGGTCAAAAGTAGGAGTAGGGGTATTTTGGGACAAAATAAAATGAATGGTTGGATAGACATGACAAATACTACCGTTGCTGTGGGTACGTCCATCTGCTGTACTGACGATTTTGAAGGAAGGTGCGTCTGGAGAAGAATTAGTAGTAGGATATATATATAACAAATGGTAAATTGCATTAATACACTCTTTCAAACAATGTCACTCAAATACGAGTGAATAATTTTTTTAATAATGACATTCTTTGTGATTTCAAATATCATTTTTATTTTTATTTTTTAATTTAATTAATTTATAAAATATAAATTTAATTAATTGACAAAATTATCTTCATCATTAAACCTCATTCTGTACCATAATGTTTAATATATATATATATATTTTTTCCATTTTAGTACCTAGTCGCTGACACTCCCTCTCTCTCTTCCCGATCTCAAACATGGCCTTTTTTTATTATTTATTTATTCCTATTGAGTTGGATCTGGGTTGGCCATGACCCTTTTTAATTTTTTTTTCTACTCTGGTGGTGATTGTTGTGGTGTGATTTGGGTGTGGTTGTGATGGTTGTAGTAGTGTCTAAGTTATCTGGGTGTTTCAAGATTTGTATTTTTATTTTTTCTATTGTGATGGTGGTAGTTCTAGTAGTACCTGGGTGTGTTGGTGGTATTGTCTTGGTGTGGTAGTGGTGGTGGTAATAGTGTTGTCTTGATATGGTGGTGGTTCTAGTCGCATTTGGAACGTATAAGTATGGATTGGTCATAACTATTTTTAATTTTTTTATTATAGTATTTCGGTGTAGTTGTGGTGGTTTTGGTGATATATAGTTATCTGGTTGATTATTTAAAATATATATATATATTTTTTTATTTTTTATTTTTATGTTGTGGTGGTGGTTATATACAGTGGTATAAGTATTATTATCTGGTTGGTTATTTTAAAAAATTTAATGATTTGCTCCATTAAATTTAGTTAGGATGTTAAATTTGTAATTTTATGATTTAAATGAAGTTGTTAATAAGTTAAATAGTTAAAAATAATTTTATATGATTTCATAACTCTGAATGTTAGGATGACGATGCACATTTTTTAAACATCAAGAGTATCAATGTAAAAAAAGTCATTAATTTCTCACAACCTCAAAAAATATAAGTGCAATTTACCCTATAACAAATTATCTAATACAACAACACAACAAAAACGGTTAAATTAACGCAATCGGGAGGTATCTTAATTCCTTATACCCCACATTGATCATACAAATGGTAACTTCACCCACATTTGATGGATGGATACTTTTGCTGCAGTCTAGTCACATGGTTGTTGGATCTGGTTTGGACTCACTTGAATGAATGGTGGTGAAGCACCGCACAGTAAAAGTAAAATTGTAGTACCGTACAGGCATATATATATATATATATATATCAACTTTTTTAATAGCATTGCACCGACAAAAACCGTACGTAGTAGTAGTACTAGTACTACCCCCATTATGTTTTTGTTATGCCCACTCTCAGTATCAACTCTTTGCGTTCTACGTGTTGACTAAACCACGCCAATCAATACTAAATTGGAAAAACTATGAAAAATATGTCACTTAACTTTAATCATAGTTTCTTGATCCACCAACATTATTTCTTCCACAACAAATGCATTCTAGAAAAAAAAAATATATAATTAAATAATAATAAGTGGGACAATATTCTGGTGGATTGAATGAATATAGGCAGGTGAGTACTTCCCATTCATACTGTGAACCCAGCCCAGGAATTAACATGCAGCCCCAACAATTCTACAATGACCCAAAACTGTTAACGACTTGCAATATGTGGCCCATGGGAAATGGTACACATATTGCTTTCGTCTCAATGGGCCAAATGATGATTGGGCTGAACCCGCATTCATTGCGTATAGACGAATAAAGGATGATTGGGTAGTTCAAATTATAAGAGGAGAGGGATATTTGCTACTAGTCTTTATCGTGTTATACAAGCGTTGAATTTCACTCATCATCATATTGTGAAATGTAGTTTCACAATGAAGTAAGAGGACATGATTGCTAGGGGTAACCGAATCCTATCCATTCTTTACAGATTGATGAAAATTGAAATCAATTCGATCCATTGATTTAAGCCGACAAATTCATAATCACTGTTCATAAAGAACCTAATAAATTATATTATAAAATTGAAATGATTTTGTTAATGACTTGAGTTGCCAATTTGAATTGACTCTGACCCAAATTGAACTCTCAATCTCAGTATTCAAAGCTCAACACAAAATCATTTTGACAAGTTATACTTTCCAAGAAATGGCCACATATGTTTTATATTTTTTATTTGGAAGAAAGGGCCAGAGATATTATTGAAGAATTATCAGGGAAAAGACCAAGACATCATCATCAATTGTAAGACAAGTCTACAAATATACAACTTTGAATATATATATATATATATATATATATATATATATATATGAGAATCTACTCTTGAAAACAAGTGGTAAGAGAATAAAAGTTATCTATCTACTTTTTAAAAAGTAAATTGTCACATAAATTAAAAAGTGATGATGTATTTTTTATTATCTAATATGTTTCAACCCTAAAGTAAAGTTAATATATTATCTATTGTTGCAATTGGTCTTAGTTTAGTTTAATATAATATTAAAAGGTTTAAGGGAAATATATATATATATATATATATATATATATATATATATATAAGAAAGTCATATTTTTTTAATAGAAAGTTAGAAACTATTTATAGTTAGAAAATATTTTGAAGGCCAAGTATGCATTTATCTATATTATTCGTATTAATAAAAGTTAATAAAATTTTTGGGGGGGCCATGTACCCTGCTGGCCTACCCCTGCCTCCGCTCCTAGGTTCGAGCTCGGGCGTGGGTAAAAAAGTGTATGTGTGTGTAACGTGTGTTTGTTTTACCATCTTAAAAAATAAATAAAAAATAAAAATTGAAGAAGAAAGAAAGATATTGTCCAAACCATTCTCTGTCCGTAGAAAAGCCCATGGATAAGTCTTTGTGGAGGCCACAAAAAGCGCACTTCATTTTGAATGCATGCCCCCTCCCCCCTTTCTCTACACTGAGACACTCTCTCTCTACAATTTGATGCGCGCCAGATGCTCTTAGAAGAGCCCATCCATCCATCCTACTAATTGATGGTGCAGCTGTTGGGAAACGTGCAAGTTTTAATAACTTTTCGAGGGATTTTGATTCATAGATCTTGATTCATCACATAGATACAAGTTTTATGCAAAAATAAAAATATGATGTATCATTCAATTAATGGATTGAATACTTACATCAAAAGTCTGAGTAAATCTTTAAAACTTTCCTCTAAAGTGAATGTTCTCACTTATTGTAGATCCCTTAACAAGATGCCTTCTCCTTGGATTTTCATCTTCTTGGTAATTATTTTGCCTTTAGGAATCACTCATAAGCCTCCATGAATTACCTTGGAAAATTAGGCTTGTGGGAGCCTCTATTAGATGAGACCATAAACCCTAATTTTCTAGAGAGAGAAAAGTTATTCATTTTTCCTTCTCATAAAAATCACCACCTAAAATATACATAGACCATGTATATTTATAGGCAACATAAAAATAAAGAAAAGGAAACAACAAATCCTTCTCCATCTCTAATTCATATGTCTCAAATCTAATATGATTCCAATATCAAGTTGGGCTATGAGTGAGAATCCATTGGGCCTATTATTTTATTGGCTACAATGAATTAATAATTGGCCCGGTCCATGAACCCAATTCAATTAATTCATAAATTAATTTCTACTCCACTAAAAGAAATTAATTGAACTCCAATTAAATAATAAATAACCTCTAAGTCAATATTGCACTTTGACCCCTCTATGCATAATTAGTTATCGGATAAATATAGCCATCAATCCGACTACTTAATTAATATATTTATTTTGGTACCTTTGATTATTTCTGGCTCGATCACAATAAAACATTTGTTTGACAAAAATAATAATTTAAATAAATAAATATATAATAAATCATTTTGTCTAAAAACACATGAAGGCCTTCGAATTTACTTTGTGATCAACCATAATCAATACAAAATAAATACAAGTAGCAATGATGCAAATATTGAAAATATAACCCTCTAACTATTAATTACATAACTACCCAAAGTGTCGGTCTAAGGATCCCGAAGAATCAGCCGAACAAATCAAAATAATTATTAATTAATAAAAGAGTCTATACTTTTCTCATGCTTAAGAGTCAAATGCCATGACGGTGATAAGGAGTAATTGCATACGACGGCTCTCGCAATATATCTCAACCTAACGCGGATCCAGTTCAAGTCTTAATTAATTATGAGTCCATCCATAATTACCGACTATGAACAATTTATAATTACTATTTATATATCATGCATTGATTGTCATCACATACATATATATAAATATTTCTTGTAATTAAATGGACACTATCAATTTCATAGTGAATCGA